CCCCCCCGCCCCGACGGGGACGCGTGGCCCCGACCCGGAAAGCTCGCGCCGGGAGCTGGATGGACCTCAGGGCTCCTCTCCCGGTTCTCCCTGGGACGGAGCGGGGCAGCCCAGGGTGGCCCGCGGGCAGAGGTGAGGCCGAGTGTCCGAAGGGCCCTCTGCAGACCTCGGCACCCGCCGGGGGCCCCGACCTCCAGCTCCGTCCCCGTCCGAGCTCCCCCCCACCCCCGGCCCCCAGCTCCGGCCCGCGGGAGGCCGTGGGGTGGCTGGAATTGGGTGTGGCCGGAGTGAACGCTTGCAGAAAGCCCCTGGCTTCACGTCTTAGGAGTCCCCCAACATTCCGGACTAGGCTTTCCTGGCCCCAACTTCTGCATTGACTGGGGCTCCTGGGCTGAGGGAGCCCCAGGAAGCCCTTGTCCGGAGCCGCGGCGGCAATTGTAACACGTCAGGGCCTGGGCCCTCCTTCTGGGAAAAGATTAACCAAGTCTGCGCTCCCTAGCTCCTGAAGAAAGGACGCGAAGGCCAGCGAGGCTTTTCTCCAATAGACTCGCCCGTCTTATCCCTCTTCTCGGCAAAACCGCTGCGCTTTAATCACACCGTTAATCCCAGCACCGCGGAGGCGGAGGCAGGCCCTGCGGGGGAGTTCGAGGCCAGCCTGGGCTACAGAGAGAGTTCCAGGGCTGTTACACAGAGAAACCCTGTCTCGAAAAACAAAACAAACAGAACAAAATGAGAGAGACAGAGACAGAGAAGCAGAGACAGAGAGAGAGAGAGAAAGGAGGATGTCAAAGCCCGGTGAAGGCAGGAGCTGGAAATACCTCCCTCCCTTGAGCCACTGCTGACTCCCAGAAGGAGCCGTTGTGAAAAGCTAAAGGAAATGACCTTCTCACTCCCAGCCTGAGCTCTATCCTTTCACCACGTCGCCTTCGGAGTTGCTTCCTGAGTCTGCGGGAAGAAAGCGTGCCCTAAGGAACAATTAGCGCAAAGGGCCAGCCTGGTGGCGCATCTGTAATCCCGGCACGTTAGAATCTTTGTCGTTTTTCAAGACAGGGTTTCTCTGTGCAGCCCCAGCTGTCCTGGAACTCACTCTGTAGACCAGGCTGGCCTTGAACTCAGACCCGCCTGCCTCTGCCTCCTGAGCACTGGGATTGAAGGTGTGCGCCACCACACCTGGCACTCTGTCAAGTTTTAAGCAAAAGAACCAAAAACTCAAAGCCATCCTGAACAATTTAGTCACACACACACACACACACACACACACACGCCCCTTTCTCTTTGGAGACAAGGTCCCAATGTAACCCAGGCTGGCCTGGAACTCCCTGTGTAGCTGAGGCTGACCTTGACCACCCTGCCTCCGCCTCACAAGCGCCGCCATTACTGTGTCCACAAGCCCATCTGACTGATGCATCAAACCCAAGGTTTGGTAGGCAAGCACTGTACCAACTAAGCTGTATCCCCGGTGCGAGTGAGACTCACAGTGAAGAAGAGGGATGCAGGAGCTCTGTGGTAGAGCACCTAGCACGAGCAAGAGTCCAGGTTAGGTTCCCAGACTATGAAAAAAATCGAGACGTGACGGTGAGGCCTCTTGTTCCCAGAAGGCAGGAGGACTGAACGTTCCCGGCCATCCTGGGCGACACAGCAAAGCACTCGTGCAGCATGTGAATGAGCCTGGGTTTAATCAGCAGTACGAAAACCAGTGGTATACACACCTATAATCCTAGCACTTGGGAGACTGGAGCAGGAGGATCATTTAATCATGTCAAGTTCAAGACCAGCCTGGGCCACAAAGCAAGACCCTATCTCACGAAAAAGGAAGGAAGGAAGGAAGGGAGGGAGGGAGGGAGGGAGGGAGGGAGGGAGGGAGGGAGAGAGAGAGAGAGAGAGAGA